GCAGTGGATCCCACCCTTCCTGCCTCTGGGAGAAGGAAAAAGACATGCGCCCTGACCACTAGGCCAGCAGCTGACAGGTCTGCAACCAGACCGTCAGCGCAGAGCCACCGGGCAAGGGGCGATGCACACGTCACCCTGGAGGAGGCAGTTCCAACCCTCTATAAGTCTTGTCCACAAATCACACGTGAGTGAGAGGGGGTAAGGCCATAAGATGTGGGGAGAGTCCGGCATGGAACACCTCTCGGGGATACAGCCTGAGAGGACCTCTCAGGGATACAGCCTGAGAGGAGACGCGGAAGCAGCAACGTGAGGAGTGGTGGGGGACCCTGCTGGCAGGGCGAGGGGTGCCACAGGAGAGAGGACTTGAAGGGATGGCTGGGAGGGCGGGCTGGATCCAGGCAGGCGCACTTCAAGTCACAGGGTGTGTGACCAGACCATCCTGTGGCAGTGCAGACCCGGGAAACTAATAGCAGGAGAGACCAACCTGTCTCAGGGAAATTCACGCACCTTTGGGACCTCACCCTGGATGTCCCACAGGCAGCTCAAACTCAACTGATCCAAACAGAAGCCACGTTCTGGCCCCGAGCTGGCCCTTCCCTCCTCTGGTGATCCCTACCTCTGTGACCCAGACGCCCAACGCCCGCCTATCAAAGCCAAAAAGTGGGAGTCACTTGAGACTCACCTCTGTCACCCTGCTCTAGACCTGCAAACGGCTATACTGGAATCACTGGGGAGCTATCCTCACAGATTCTCATCTGACTGGTTTGGGGGCAGCCTGGGCATCGGGACTTTTATTTTTAACTCCCCTGGGGTCTGTAACGCCCAGCCCAGCCTGAGAACCCCTGTGGACAGTAAAGCACCTTCCAGTGGGTGCTAAGTCGCTCCCTCTGAATCACTCCTTCCCACCAGGCCTTCATCTTCCCTGTGTGGACTGACTCAATGACCTCTTAAACTGGTCTCCTAAAGGCAGTTTGGAAATTCAGCTCCAGACTCTAAGAGCTGGGGAGTTAGGAATCTGGAGGTGTGTGTGGGGGTGCACATTCACTGATATGACAGCCACAGGAAGGAATTCAGTTCACTGAAGGACACTGACATGTCACAGGAGGACCAGGTACCACAGCGGATGACGCAGCTGCGGCCAGAGATGGGAGACTCGGAATGGCCAAGCGTGTCAGGGACAAGGGAGGGGCTGGGTTTTTTTTTGGGGGGGGCGCGGGTAGTCAACCATGTCAAATGCTGCCGATTTTAAGAGTGATAAACAGATACAGTGCCACTGAATTTGGTGACTGTGAGGTTACCTTTGACCTTGTTATACAAATTTCAGCCAAGTGGGTGGGATAGAAAGCAGGGTTCTGAAGAATAAGTGGCAGCAAGTAAGCTGGGACAGTGAAGGGGACTTACTGTTAAATGATTATATCAAGGGAAAAATATTCATAAGAGGATGTAGCTTGAAAAACTAGCAAAGCCAGGAGGAGGTTTTTTGGAATAGAGGAGACTCAAGTAAGCTGTGGCTAAAGGAGAGGTCTTCTAAGAAAGACAGTCTGAAGATTCAAGGGGGAAGCCGGGGCAGAACGACTGATGGGCGGGGAATAACTCAAGGGCACAGGATGAGGAACACACGAAAAGCCGCAGCACTGTCTGTGGAGCGGTGCTAAAACTCCCAGGGAACGCCCTCACTTTTTAGTTAGCCTGAGTACAAGGGATAGCTGTCTACTGTGAAGGATAGGATGTGAAAGAGCAAAGAGGCTGGATGGAGGTAGGGAATTAACTGGAGAGAAATAAAAAGAATTATATAGAAAGGCTATGGTAAATAAGCCAGTGAGGCACCGGAACAGGAACAGATAATTACTGGAAGAGAACATGCAAAGTCCATAAACGGACACAAGAGCATGCGGGACAGGATTTCAATGTGACAAAGACGGCGCTCCAGGGAGAGGCAAACTTGAGAGAGCAGCGCTGAATCAAACACATTACCCTGTGTCGGACAGATGGCCAGTGGGAGTCTGCCGTGTGACGCAGGGAGCTCAGACCGGCGTTCTGTGACAGCCTGGGGGCGGGAGGGGGCCGGAGGTGGGAGGGAGGTGCAAGAGGTAGGGGACATGTGTACATGTCCATGTGTAAGCGATTCATGCTGCTGTTTGGCAGAAACTAACACAACATTGTACCCACTCCAGTGTTCTTGCCTGGAGAATCCCAGGGACGGGGGAGCCTGGTGGGCTGCCGTCTATGGGGTCGCACAGAGTCGGACACGACTGAAGCGACTTAGCAGCAGCAGCAACAACACAATACTGTAAAGCAATTATCCTCCAATGAAAAACAAATACATTTATTTTTTTAAAAAAGATGGCACTCCAAACCAAAAAGAAAAGACATATTCTTCAGGAAATAATATGGGGACAAGTGAGTAGCCATCTGCATCCCTACCTTATATCTTATACCAAGTCAAGGTCCAAATAAATCAAAGGTTTCAAAGTTAAAACAAAAATACATGAACTATAAAAAGTGCTGAAAAGCTAAGTGGAGGAAAAGTGAAGATTGATACTAAAATCCGTAAAATTTAATGGGTAAAAACTTATGGGTAAAAAAATTAACAAATGCTATTTCATAAAAATACAAACTTACTACAGAGTAAAAAAACAAAAAACAACCGAAAAACAAAAAAAAAAACCCTCACGGGCTTCCCTAGTGGTCCAGGGGCTAAGGTCTGCACTCCCAAAGCAGAGGGCCCGGGTTTGATCCCTGGTCAGGGAACTAGTTCCCACATGATGTGAACAACAAACAGTTCATGTGCTGCAACTAAAACCCAGCACAGCCAAACAGACAAAGACACACACAAAACCCAGAAGAGCAAAAGCAAAACAAGACAGGTAACAGACTGGGAAGTATATTCACACTTCATCAAAGGGCTAACTGCTCTAAAATAGTTTCTAAAAAGTAAGTAAAAGACCAGCAATCCAACAAAAAAATGGGCCCAAGATACAAAATTATAGAAGAAAGGTATACATTTACTTTTTAAACATATGAGAACATGCTCAACATCATTTATGAAAAGAGAAATACGAATTAAAACATCACTGAAATACACTTTTTTTTTTTCCTGGCCTCACTGTGGCAGCTTGTGAGATTTTAGTTCCCTGACTAAGGACTGAACCTGGGCCCTGGGCAGTAAAGTGCAGAGTCCTAACCACTGGACTGTCAGGGAACTCCCTGAAATATACTTTTTACAATCAGATTAAAACAAACGCTAACACTCTGTGGCTATGCACCTGGGGAAATATCTCACATGTCCCGTGTGAGAAGGTAAATTAGCACGACATCTAAAGAGGGTAATTTGGCTACATCTCTTAAATTACTGGACACATTCCCTTTGACCCAGAGATACCATTTCTAGGTTGTATCTTATAGCTATCCTTCCATTGAAGGATAGTGACACACAGTGTTAGCACAAGGTTACTCATTACAGAATTATTTGACTAGCATGGGTGGGGAACAAGCTAGATATCCATTAACAGGGGACAGCCATAAACAAGGATGATGATATTTATGGACTGATATGGGAGTATCTCTAAGATATATTAATAAGAGAAGAAAGCAATTTGCAAAATGAAGAGCTACACTTTATGCAAAAAAAAATATACCGAAGCTGGATTTGATCTGATAAGATAGTGCTGGAAAGCTACATAAGAACTAGGAACAGCAGCTGCCTCTGGGGAGGGGACTGAGTGTCTGGGTCAGAGATTTTTCATTGTACCATTTATTTTTTAAAAAAAATTTTGTTGGGGTATAGTTGATTTACAATGCTGTGTTACTCCGATACCTTTCAAATTCTTAACTTTAAGCATGTTACCTATCATAAAAATAATTCAAATTAGAATAAAATGAAAAGGCAAAACTTACAAACAATAATGTGGAAGATGAGAGGACGTGATAAGCATTAAACTGCTCAAGTCCTTTCTCAGGAGACAGCTGGAGATGCTGATGAATATTACGGTACACAGAAAAGTTTTAACGGTAACCACTAAGACACTGTAAACAGATGTATGATTTCCAAATTATTACAGCAGAATGGAAGAACTTGGGAGAAGTCATGTAAAACTCTGGCTTTCTGACTGAGGAAAGTCTCATGGACAGAAGCCTTAACAACCGCATGCAATGGAGAATGGTGGACTGGTCCTGTGACTGAAAGGGCGTGGTGGTGGGAAAACTGGGAAGTTTCAAATAAAGTCTGCAGTCTGCTTGATTCAGCTGGTATGAATAGTACTGTACCAGCCTTCATTTCTCAATTTTGGTGTGTCTGGTATATGGGAACTCTGTACAGTCTTTCCAGTATTTCTATAAGCCTAGACGTTTTCAAAATACAGATTAAAAAAAAAAACTTAAAAAAATCTGGCTTTCTTGTTTCTCTGAAAAATTAAGCAGACCTGGCCAATGCATGCACTCCTGGGCTGCTTCCCTCACTCACGACACATGAACTGCTGCCCCCACCTGCAGGGATGGGCGTCTGGTTAGTGTAAACTGGTTCCTCAAGAATCACTCTCTGATCCTCCCTGGGCACTCAACTTGGGCATCAGCAGACCTGAAGCGGGGGAAGCGCTCAGAGGCGCAGCTGCCGCCAGTGACCCTGACTGATGAGTGAACGGCCACCTGGGGCAGTCACTCCCAGGTGCTACCGACCCCAGTGCCCTCTCACTGAGCCCTCTCAGCTTCCGTGGGTCAGCTACGTGCCTGGCTACACACTCAGTCTCCCACGCGTCCAGCAGTGACAGTGCCCAGGGGACGATTCTGACCAACAGTATGCAGACAGAAGTCTGCTAGAAGGGTCTCCTGGAAACACGAGCCTGAGAAGAAAGCTCCAGAGAGTGAGGCTCAAAGCAGGAAGGAGCTGCGGAACGAGCCCAGGAACATGGGTCCCCAGACCGCTCATTAGGTGCAAAACCTAAATGCGTGCCAGATTGCAGTTCCGTGCAGTTGAGCGCCGCCCGAGATGGCACAGCAGCAGGATGGAGGAGCAGCGCGGGGCCCGGGGAGGGTGGCGGCAGCACTGGCGAGGACCTCGTGACCACCGAAAGAGGCGCGTAGAAAAACCCCCGACAGCAACTAGCGAGTACCCAAACCACGAGGGCCGGAGACACGGACTCCTCACCGTCACAGAACGAAAAGGCCTGGAGGTGCAGCGGGCAGGGGCGCGAGACCTTCGGCTGGGCTCGTGGCTGAAGCACCCAGGAGGCTTCTGACGAGCAGTGTCCAGGGATGTGCCGCGCGGTGACAGGAGGCGGGCCACGGGACCTCCGCGAGCCCCAGGCGTGGTGACCCTGACCACAGAAACGAGCGCAGGCGGCCAATCGGAACAAACTGCTTCGGGATCTGTGTAGACGGGGTGTCGGTGGAGATAGGGAAATCCCACAGGGCTGTGGTGATGAGAGCCAGGGAGAGGGCCACGAGGACTGGGGCCCCCTTGGAGGAGGAAAACAGGAGGGAAAACCACAGCTCCCCATATAGATATTTGACACAGTATTTTCTCACACATGCCCTCGTGCCCTCTGAGTGAGCCGGGACACAGGACAGAGTTCACTGTCAGGACCGACCCTGGAGGGGGGCAGGAGCTGACCGAGGTCCCTCCACGGGGCAGGCTTGGCCCAGTCCTCACAAGCACATCCCCCGGCCCCCACCCCGGCCGAGGCCAGCGCCAGGGACTCCCCCGGGCAGATAAGCCAAGAGACTAAAAGCGCAGGCCCGCCCAGCCTGACTAGCGTCTCTCAGAGAACACGCCGGAGGATGCAGCAGAGGACCGCAGGCTGCAGACCCCACGGGGCCCGAGTCCAGCCGGCCTCCCAGGAGCTGCGAGCCTGAGCCCTGGCGTCCTGTCCGCAGACCCGCTGGGAGGACGTTCTTTCACCATGACCAGAGGAGCTCTTCTCAGGTTCTGGGGGGGGCAAGTGGTGGCCTCCTGAAACCAGATGTGATTCTGGGCTCTGGCTAGAGTTTGGGACTTGGGGCCAGGGTCTCTGGATTCCAGGTGGATGTTCCTTCCCAGCCTGGAGCTGCCCCTCGGCCTGTGACCACCGAGGGACACCAGCTGAGGGGGCGCTGTAGTACGGCTGTTCTAAAACCCACAAACACAGCCCTTGGGGCTGCTGCTCACTCAGATGTAACCCTAAGCTGCGGCCCATCCCTGCAATCTGCGAGGCCGTCCACTGTCACACAGCCCCAGTTGTTCCATCTGCAGCTGAGGTCTGTCCCCTACCCAGCAGCCAAGGCTGTCCTTCCCCTGGGGCCCAGGCCCACAAGCTGGGTTTTCACAGGGAGCCACCACCCCACTCATCACTCTCCCTGCAATACACCCTGTTCCTTCTTCCCTTCTTCGGCCCTGGCACTAAAAGTAGCACCAGGCACTAGATTTAACATTTACGTGGCTGAGAAACCTTGGTCTTTGCTGTTGCCACCCCCAGCACGGTGCCAGGGCCAGACACCCTCTCCCTGGGGAACAGCTTGGCCCCACTTGAGAAGCTGGTGCTGCCCTCCAACAGGACACGGGTCCTGCAGCCAGAACAAGAGGGGTGCTGCTCTGTGGCCCTTGGACAGGAAATGAAGTCTCCATCAAAAGAAACTCACGAAACAAATGCCTGGGCTACTCATCCTGGCCTGCACACACACTCAGGCAAGCCTGCTAAGCAAGCATCCCACCCTCTTGCCCCTCTGGGAGCTAAAGTTGGGCAGGTGGCGCCACTCCATCCATTTTGCACTGGGCAGGCAGACTTCCTAGGCAGAGGGAGTGAGCAATTTACCCCAAATGGCCCAGAGCTCCAGAGAGGCCTGGTCTGGAGTCTGAGCAACCAAGCCACCCAGGGCCCTAACCCTCCTACCAAGTCACCCCGGGAAGCGGCACTCCCTGACACCAGCAGCAGACTGAATGCTCTGAGGAGGGTCATCCTTGTGCTCGACCCACCCAACTGTGGTGCATCCTGGGCGGCCTCTCTCTGTGCCGGAGCCCAAGCTGGGTCACAGCTCCAGGCCTCGGGCTCACCACTTCCATCATAATGGTACCAGCTGCCAATTCTCCAAGGGCTCACGACACACCATGCTGTGCGTATGCAGACACATCTCACTCTCATGACTAAGGCGCTGTCCGCTTCAGTTCAGTTCAGTCGCTCAGTTGTGTCCGACTCTTTGCGACTCCATGGACTGCAGCACGCCAGACCTCCCTGTCCATCACCAACTCCAGGAGTTTACTCAAACTCATGTCCATTGAGTTGGTGATGCCATTCAACCATTTCATCCTCTGTCGTCCCCTTCTCCTTCTGCCTTCAATCTTTCCCAGCGTCAGGGTCTTTTCCAATGAGTCAGTTCTTTGCATCAGGTGGCCAAAGTATTGGAGCTTCAGCATCGGTCCTTCCAATGAACATTCAGGACTGATTTCCTTTAGGATTGAGTGGCTGGATCTCCCTGCAGTCCAAGGGACTCTCAAGACTCTTTCCAACACCACAGTTCAAAAGCATCAATTCTTCAGCACTCAGCTTTCTTTCTAGTCCAACTCTCTCATCCATACATGACTAACGGAAAAACCATAGCTTTGACGTGACAGACCTTTGTTGGCAGAGTAATGTCTCTGCTTTTTAATATGCTGTCCAGGTTGGTCATAGCTTTTCTTCCAAGGAGCAAGTGTCTTTTAATTTCATGGCTGCAGTCACCATCTGCAGTGATTTTGGAGCCCCAAAAATAAAGTCTCTCACTGTTCCTATTGTTTCCCCATCTATTTGCCATGAAGTGATGGGACTGGATGCCATGATCTTAGTTTTCTGAATGTTGAGCTTTAAGCCAACTTTTTCACTCTCCTCTTTCACTTTCCTCAAGAAGCTCTTTAGTTCTTCTTTGCTTTCTGCCATAACGATGGTGTCATCTGTGTATCTGAGGTTATTGATATTTCTCCTGGCAATTCCAGCTTATGCTTCATCCAGCCCAGCATTTCTCATGATGTACTCTGCATAAAAGTTAAATAAGCAGGGTGACAATATACAGCCTTGACGTACTCCTTTCCCAATTTGGAACCAGTCTGTTGTTCCATGTCCAGTTCTAACTATTGCTTCTTGACCTGCATACAGATATCTCAGAAAGCAGGTAAAGTGGTCTGGTATTCCCATCTCTTGAGGAATTTTCCAGTTTTTTGTGATCCACACAGTCAAAGGCTTTGGTGTAGTCAATAAAGCAGAAGTAGATGTGTTTCTGAAACTCTCTTGCTTTTTCTATGATCTAACAGATGTTGGCAACTTGATCTCTGCTTCCTCTGCCTTTTCTAAATCCAGCTTGAAGATATGGAAGTTCATGGTTCACGTACTGTTGAAGACTGGCTTGCAGAATTTTAAGCATTACTCTGCTAGCGTGTAAGATGAGTGCCAATTGTGTGGTAGTCTGAACATTCTTTGGCACTGCCCTTCTTTGGGATTGGAATGAAAACTGACCTTTTCCAGTCCTGTGGCCACTGCTGAGTTTTCCAAATTTGCTGGCAGATTGAGTACAGCACTATCACAGCATCAGGATTTGAAATAGCTCAACTGGAATTCCATCACTTCTACTAGCTTTGTTCATAGTGATGCTACGTAAAGCTCACTTGACTTCACATTCCAGGATGTCTGCCTCTAGGTGAGTGATCACACCATGGTGGTTATCTGAGTCATGAAGATTTTTTTTTGTATATATAGTTCTTCTGTGTATTCTTGCCACCTCTTCTTAATATCTTCTGCTTCTGTTAGGTCCATACCATCTCTGTCCTTTATTGTGTCCATCTTTGCATGAAATGTTCCCTTGATATCTCTAATTTTCTTGAAGAGATATCTAGTCTTTCCTATGCTATTGTTTTCCTCTATTTCTTTGCATTGATCACTGAGGAAGGCTTTCTTATCTCTCCTTACTATTCTTTGGAACTCTGCATTCAAATGGAATATCTTCCCTTTTCTCCTTCGTCTTTTGCTTCTCTTCTTTTCTCAGCTATTTGTAAGGCCTCCTCAGACAACCGTTTTGCCTTTTTGCATTTCTTTTTCTTGGGGATGGTCTTGATCCCTGCCTCCTGTACAGTGTCATGAACCTCCGTCCATAGTACTTCAGGCACTCTGTCTATCAGATCTAATGCCTTGAATCTTTTGTCACTTCCACTGTAAAATCATAAGGGATTTGATTTAGATCATACCAACAGGTGCTGTTATTATCTCCATTTAACTGATGAGGAAACTGTGGCACAGAAAGGGAAAGTAATCAAGTCAAAGTCACACAGTAATCGGAAAAGCAGGATTTCAGACCAGGCAGGTTGGTTCAAGTCTTAATCACTATACTGTGTGCCGTGCATGTGGTCCTGGGTTAACACTGGACCAGAAGCTGGTATATTCCTGCCCTGCTAGATCTGTGAGCCTCAGTCTGGAGGCATCAACCCTGAATCTTCTGTCTAGTTGCCAAGAAAAGAACACCTGGTGAGAGCTCTTCTGGATACTCGTGCCAGAAAATGACCACCACAGATCTGGTCCCGCCCTCTCTAGCCTGACGCCACTCACCACAGGTGCGGCATCACACCCTGAACACAGGGGCTGGCACTGGCCTCAGCTTGGAATGCCATCCCTGCCCCTAGCTAAGGGCTACTTTCCTTCCAGAGCCCCCTCCTTCTTTAGGGAGCTCGCCTTCACTAGCCCCACGCTGGTCCTTTCTACTGCAACCCTGAGCCAGGCCCTCCAGATCTGCGGTTACTGCACTGACCTGCAACATCTGTCAGCTGGTTTGTGCTCACCACGTAATCAATCAGTTTCCCAGATAATGCCTTCCATCTATCTTGCAGAGTTGGGTCCCCGGCACTTGGCACAGTGCCTGGCACTTAATGGGTGCTCAGCATACACTCATTGAATGAATAAACAGGCCAAAAGCATTAACCTCAGCCACACTCTGTCCAGCTGGGAGAGCTGCCACTGTATCTGTTCTCACCCACTGCTGCCGTTGAGATGCAGTGTCCCGCAGCCTTGTGCATCAGGCCTGGGGTCACACCCTGGGTCTGCTCCCCCAACTCTGTGACTTGGGGGAGACACCAGCCCCTCACTTTCTCAGCCCTAAAGCTGGGGTATGACCACTTAACCTGAGTGGCCATCATGCGGAGAAGATAACCACAGAGCAAATGCTTAACAGCCAACAAACGGGCTGTGGCTGCTGCCACCTTGGGGGCTGGCACGGAGTGAGCGGTATTCCAGTGTGGACAAGTGTTGGCCTCTGGAGTTCCAGGGACCTACACCCTGAATTTCCCAATTCCCTGCCTTGCAATCAACCGTGAGGAGGGAGCACTGACAGGGCCCGCCCTGCTCTGGGTCTGGGCTTCTTTCGGAGCCTTTGTCCCCCGCCTGGCCCTTGGGAAGACCCAGTCACTGCATTTCGTCCTTCCCTCACTGCAGGGATGAGGAGCGGACCTCTGGATCAGCGGTGAGATAGCCTACGGGAACGGGGCCTGGACGCTTTGCTCCTGAGCTTCCCTCTCAATCATTAACTGGTGCCGACCCAGTGCCCTGGTTTTCTAGGCCAGCAGCTCCACAGTGCTCTCTGCTCCCATTCGTCAGCCCAGGTCACCCCACTCCCCTCGGGGCACTGTGGCCTTGGAATCCCCGGAGGCCAAGCCCAAGGAATGAGGGGTTGATCCCGTTCAGAGAGCCTGTGGGAACCAGAGGAGGCCAGCCAGCCACCCCTCCACACCATTCTAGAATTTTTCCAATTCCATCAAGAGTTAGCCCATCAGCCCTGTGGAACGGAGCCAAGCTATAATAAAACGAGACCTCAGGAAGCCAGAGGAGGTGCTCAAATAAGAGGTCAGAGTGGACAGGACAGCTCCCCAAGCAGGACCAAGGAGAGGCCTGGGGGCAGCTGGCTCCGGGCCCCCGAGCCCGGCGCGCGGGTCAGGGTGCTGGGCAGCCCCGTCCGTCACCACGGAGGACCGAGGCGATGCTGCGAGTCCTGGCTTCACAGACAACAGAACCACCAGGATGTCAAGACACACGCACAGTGGGAAGGAGGTTCAGGAGGGAGGGGACACACGTACTGACAGCTGATCCAGGCTGATGTTTGGAGAAACCAATACAACTCGGTAAAGCAATCATCCTTCAATTACAATTAATAAATTTTAAAAAATATGAAAAATAATCTCACACCAGGGCGCGGCGAGGGAGGGGGGAGAAACAAACAAACTTGTGCATAATGCACAGAAACAAAACCGGAAAGACATGGCCAAATCGTTACCGGTGCTTTCCTCTGAGGGGTGGTCTTTATTTTCCTAACTATATATTTTTTGTGTTCCTCAAAGTTTTTACAGTGAGCATGGGACACTTTCAACATGGGGGGTACAAAGGGAAGATATGCTTTGAACAAAGAAAACTGAATAATATGCTTTAAGATTCTTAGAAGGTAAAAGACAGGTGTGCTGAGAAGTGACCAAGACCGCCCCTCGGGAGCCTGAGAGCAGGGGACCCTCCTTGCTCAGAGGAGCTGCAGAGGCGAGGGCGGGGGTGCCAGCAGGCAGAGGGGCTTCCAGAACGTTCTCATTCAAGGACCGCGGGAGCTATGATGCTGCCAGCACCTCTCTCCTCTGCTGCCCGCTGCTTTCATTCACTCGGTTAAGCACCCACCACCATGTGCCCAATGCAAACGCCTGACTCTGAAGGACGACTAGGGCTCTGAAGGACCAACACTGCCACACGGGCCTGGCGTGGGTACTTGGGGAGGGGGTCCCGAGGAGGACGTGGCCTCTGATTGAGAGGCAGGCAGGTGAGGTGACAGAGACCCCTCAGGGAGGAGGGTGGCAGAGACCCTCCGAGCCGGGCATGCTGGGAGCTCGGGGCAGCTGATCTTGCTGAGGCTGGAGACCACCTGGGGCCTCGAGGGGCAGGCAGAGGGCTCGGCTGTTCATCTGAGGAGCAGCAGCGCCTGGGAGGGCCCCGAGGGTGACGGGCAGGACCAGAGCAGCGTTCAGACAGACTCCTCTGCTGCCGTGGAGGGCGGGCTGCAGGGTGCCGGCGCGCCCAGGAGGGGCATCAGCGTGAGACAGGGGCCACCTCCCAGAGCCCAGGCTGGCTGGCTGTGGGGAGCCGCACCCTGACCCACTCCTTGGAGGGTCCGGGCTGAGGAGCCGAGGGATGGAGCCCTTACGGAAAGCTGAGAACGTCTTTAGCGCCTCACCTGCGTCCTCATGCCCCACCTGGGGCTGAAGGTCAGGGCTGGACGGGACACTCCAAGACCCACTGCTGCTCTGCCGGGCTCGGGCTCCAGCCTCCCAGCGCTGTTCTGGTCTCACTGCTCCCTGGCTGCCACACCCACCCGCCTGGGAGCACATGTGGCACTTGGCACTGCTGGGCGGGGGGCCAATGACCACAAACAGCCACTGCGTCCGGGGCCTGACAGCTCCACCGCAGCCCCCCCCCGGACTCCTGACACCTCGTCTCCACCAGCAAGACCAACCAGCCTGTGCATCTGCGGCCCTGCTGTGGGTGTACGTGGTTACAGGGCGTGGACGGGACACTGCTGCTCACAACCTTTTCTTTTTAAACAATAACTAAGATCTGGACATCGGCCAGCCCTTTAAAGCTCACAAGGCACCTCCACGTACAGGATCTCATCACTCTACATAGGCAGCAGAGGGCACAGCGCTAGCGTGCGCTGAGCGCCTACACTGGGCTCAGTGAGCCTCAGGGGAGCGCTAACTCCTGCTGCCAAGAACCAACCGGGTCGGGGACAGGGGACGGGGTCAAGGAGAGGGGCAGTGCGCGGGGGGGCACAGCCAGGCCGCGGGAGAGGGAAGGGAACTCGGATCGGCTCAGGAGACGTGTGACTCCGGCTGGAGCGGAGCAAGGCAGAAATGGGGGTCGGCAGGGCGGAGTGGCTTCTGAACCTCCCCGAGGGGAGAGGAGACGCACAAGAGTCCTACAGCTAAGTTCTGTCCAGGAGAAACCATGACTCCGCCTGTCAGCTTCACCTAAGAGTAATCATGTCCTTTGACCTGGTAATTCCTCTCAAAGGAAACTGTACCAAGTACCAACTGTACCAACTGTTCAAGGCAATGTTATTCGTAATAACAAAATCAATTTTTATAATAATGAAAAATAACAGAAATGACTCAGTGCCCAATAATAAAGGAATGGATAATTAAATTAGGGCACTCCCAGAAAATGGGAGTATTATCCAACCATTATATTCACGCTTCCAAAAACCCTTTACAAGTTTGCTAAGTGGAAAGTAGCAGAATACACAACTACAGAGACAGCATGATTCCCATAAAAATGACGAGTGAAAGAATGGAAGAAAGTTTCCTTACATAAACAGGGTGGCAGGTGATTTATTATTTTTATGGTGCTCTACTTTTAAAACTTCCCGTACTGAACACATATTACCTTCCTCTTACTTGACTCAGCAGAGCTCGGGGGACACTGCTGGACCCTTCCCCCTTATGTCTGTTCTCAACTTGGCTCCCAGGTTCTCCTCCGACCTCAGTGGCTGCTCCATGTTGACCTCTCTGCTGCTCCCAGTCAGGCCCAGTCTTAAAAGGGCTCCTTTCCTCTCCCCTCAGTCCCCGCCTGCATGGTCTCCTGTGAGCTCATGGCCTTCCATGCACTCCGGCCTCCCCTATTACTCCTCCACTCCCAGCTCCTCTGAGATGTCCATACTGGATGCCCAAGGGTATCACGACCCTAACACACCCAAAGCTAAGCTCTTGGCACTTCCCCCAAAGTCTTTCTCAGCTCAGTAAGCGGCAACTCCAGCTTTCTAGATGGTCAGGCCAAAATGTCGGAGTCAGCAAATGTTGTCTCTGCCTCTGATCAACACCTCGAATCTAATCACGTCTCACCACCTCCACTGCTAGGATCCCAGTCCAGGGCAATACCATCTCTTGCCTGGATTATTTTAACGGCCTCCTAACTGGCTTCTCTGCTTCTAGCTTCAACCCATGATTCCCCACAGTGAATCATGGCAGTCACAGTGATCCCCTTAAGTCGGATTCTGCCCCTCCTGTGATCATATCCTCCCACCTTCACACTGGCCCGGAGGAGGCCTTCTGGAACTGGGGCCCCCTGCCTGCGACCTCCTCCGCAGGATACTAGGCACCACGGCCTCCTTGCTGGTGCTGAACGCAACAGGCATAGCTCGCCTCATGGAGCTTGCAGCTGTCCCCTCCAGCTGAATATGCCCTTGCCCCAAGGCTTGCTGCCTCATCTCCTCAGGGCTTTGCTCAAATGTGACAGTCAACCTGATCACCCTATTTAAAACCACTCCAGTCCAGCCTTGGGTACTTCCATTTCTCTTCCCTGCCTCAATTTTCTCGGTAGTTCTTACTACCATCTGGGATGTGTGTGTATGCACACATGCGTATACACAAATGTTTATGCATATACCCATACATATATATGTAAATGTACCTACAGGGCTTCCCAGGTGGTTCAGTGGTAAAGAATCTGCCTGCCAACGCAGGAGATGCAGGAGATACAGGTTTTGTCCCTGGGTCAGGAAGATACCCTGGAGAAGGAATGGCAACACACTCCAGGATTTTTGCCTGGAGAATTTCATGGACAGAGAAGCCTGGTGGGCTGCAGTCCATGGGGTCACAAAGACTCGGACAGGACTTGTCAGATGAGCACACACAATGTACCTCTACACGAGTGTGTGTACTTCTTACTCATCTGTTTATTGCCTGTCTCTCCCCAGAAGAATATAAGCTCCACAAGCCAGAGATTTTTGTCTGTTAAAATCATGCTGATCCTCAAGTCTTAGAGAGGAGTGACTGGCACACAGTAACAGCTAACTTTCTATTGGGGGAAGCACACTGACTGAAATTGCCCACCCTGGCCAGGCACCATAGTAAGCTTCTGCATGAATTACTTTACGACAGGAGGTCCTGGTAAGGAACACAGAACTAACAAGATACCACCAACCAGAAAAGCTCGGGAAAGGTCAAAAGGAGACACCACACGTCTGACCACCTCCCAGAATCCTTGCTAGTGTCCATCTTGGCTGAGCGATGTGGGCACCACCAGGAAGGACCCTGAGTCTTAATGATGGGCCAGAAACAATTGGAAGCTAATCCCACCACCATAAAACCCGCGACTGTGAGCCAGTGGCACAGCAGTCCTCCTGGGTCCCCTCACCCCACTGCTCCCCGCCCAGGCGCCCCTTCCCAGTAAAGTCTCTTGCTCTGTCAGCTCATGTGTCTCCTCGGACAATTCATTTCCAAGTGTTAGACAAGGGCCCACTCTTGGGCCCTGGCGTCCCCCTTCCTGCAACACTTTTACAACAGGAAAAAAGCCAACTTGGCCTGAAGCAGCCCGATGGATATCGTTCTTTTGGTTTCAGTTTCCCAAGGGCACTGGAACCTGCTCTCCAGATCATTCCAAAAGAGTAGCTTATCAGGGTCACGATCAATCGACAGAAATGGATGGAGGGGGAAACACGGGGTCTAGAAGCAGCTGGTGAGGGCCTCGCTGTAGGCTCCCAGCTCTTTTTACTAAGCTGCCAGGGGACCCTGGGGGAGGTGGCTCCTTCTCCTCAGCTCCATTGTGCCCACAGAGAAGGAGTGATGGGCCTGTCAACCCCTTTAATTTTATAATCCTAGCACAGAGCAGGCCCTGAGAGCAGAACCCAGTGGAATGGGCTGGGCCTCATTCACAGACCTCAGGTCTTCGCAGGGTGGGGGCAGGGAGGCAGCGACAAACCTTCAGGAGCCTTTTTAGTGTTTCCACTCCGGCCCAGGAGGAAGGTCAGACCGTAAGAGCAGTGGTACCTGCACCCACGCTGGGGAAGGCTGCACACGAACAGGGAAGGGGAGGAGGGGGCTGAGTCCTCAGCGGGAGGAAATGGCCTCTTGTCGGAGGCCTCGGGGAAGGGTCAAGGCCAAGGAGAGCTGGGTCATCCAGAAATGATCTTAAACGTAAACTATGCTCATTAGAGGAAGGGTTCAGAGAGGAAAATAAAGTCCAGGAGTGGGCAGATGACCTGTTTACAGGGACTGAGGGACAGGGCGTTCGGGGGGTTGGGGAATGCAGGTCCTGGGGTAGGGAGGAGAGAGACACAGCAGCGGAGGGGACAGAAAAGGCGGGGGAGACCAGCAGCTGGTCTGCCTGCAGGCTGGGCGCGCTCAGCCACTCCAGGGTCCTGCTTCTCACTTCCATTCCTGGAAGGCCCTAACGCTACAGTCTCCGCCACCCTGGTGAGTAGAGCCCACGTTCAACTGCCTTCCATTCCTGGTGCTGTTCTGTCTGACATCTGGTCACCAAGTCTCTGCCTGCACTGTCCTCATCCCCAGAGCCATCTTTTCCAGACAAAGCCTCTCATCACTTTGTCCTTAGATGGCTTCCTGGCCCCTCGTCCTCTCTGGGTTATCATGCTCTGGCTCCTGAAACCCCCAATAATCAAAGGGATGAAGCCAAATGTGGAAGGGCAACACCTTAGATCTCAGGAGTACATTCTCCTTCTCTCTCTGCTCCTAAGTCAATGAGGGGCGAAGTGAGACGCTCTTTCCTCTAGGCATCTATTAACCTTTAGATGAGGCAATTCAACAAATGACAGCAACTGCCCAGGTGCTACTGAGACCCAGACCCCAGCACGACTTCTATCTGGAGGTTAGATGGTAGAGGAATACGGTGGAGAGAGAGGTGCGGGACACGTGGCAAGTACACTCCCAGCTCTGTGCTATGCTGTGTGCCTCTGGGCAACCTTCTAACCTCTCTGTGGCTCAGCTGTGTGTGTGTGGCTTAGTCGCTCAGTTGTGTCCAACTCTTTTGATACCCTATAGACTGTAGCCTTCCAGGCTCCTCTGTCCATGGAATTTTCTAGGCAAGAACACTGGAATGGAGTGGGTTGTCATTCCCTACTCCAGGGGATCTTCTTGATCCAGGGATCAAACCTGTGTCTCCTGCACTGGCAGACGGATTCTTTACCACTGAGCTACCAGGGAAGCCCCCTGGCTCAGTTATCCCATCTGTAAGACAGAACTGAAATAAGAGGGAAGGGAGCAGGGCACAACCTTTCAAAGAACGACGTATCAACAACCTGATTACAACTAAGTGGGTCCAAGATGGCAGACAAGTCAACGTCAACTAGACCTGATCCTTGATATAAATCACACACTGAGAGGCACCATGGCAGTTCCATCAAAGACCAGAAAGTGGGCGGCGGCCCAAATCCTGGAAATCTCCACCCCTTCCCCTAAAGAGTGCAATAAACCTCCCACTCATTAGCTTACGAAATCACTCAGCCCATAAAAGCTAACCACGCCACATTTCGAGGTCACACTCACCCTCCGTGAGAGCCCACACTCTTGTCTGTGGAATGTGTTTCTCTTAGGCCCATTCTCGCCTTCTGAGATGGCCCACATTCTGTGGAGTGTGTTTCTCT